TTGAGATCCCAGACATAAATATCTATAAAAAGTGTTCAATGGTGTTTTGATCTATTCCAACGTAATTAGAATTTAAAACATTTTTGTTTATTTTTGCTTTTTTTTAGGGTTTCTTAGGGTCAGTCTACTAAGTTATTTAAACACTTAATAGTCCCAAACTCAAGAAAAAATTAGGGTAGATCGTTTTACCTAAAAGAAGGGCCTCAATGTGTTATGATGGTGAAAAAATATGTTTGTGATAAATAAAACCATAATGAAAATGCATATATTCAGTAAAAAAAGTGTTTTTAATTCTAATTTCGTTGGAATTGATCAAAACACCATTGAACACTTTGTTCCTATTTGTTGTAGCCATATATAAGCCCTAAACACCCCCACCCCCCAAATAAAAAAAATTGCACGCTTCGCGCACATTTTTTAGGGTGAGAACTTGTGCTTGTCCTTATTTGCCTTCTCAGTTAATTGATCGTTTTACCTAAAAGAAGGGCCTCAATGTTTAATGATGGTGAAAGAATATGTTTGTAATAAATAAAGCCATAATGAAAATGCTTATGTTCACACACACACAAAAAAAAAACGTGTGTGGCCATATATAACATAGGCCTAAGCCCTAAACTAAAAAGAAAAGAAAAAAAAACCATTTGCGCGCATTTCTGAGGGTAAGAATTGGTGCTTGGCCTCCTTTTGCCTTCTAAGTTAATTGAACACATAAAATAGTCCCAACTCAAATAGAAAGAACACTACCTAAAAGAAGGGCCTCGATGTGTATTGATGGTGAAAGAATATGTTTATAATAAATAAAACCATGATTAAAATGCTTATATTTAGTTTCAAACANNGCTTCGCCCTCCCCCCCCCCCTTCCCAACAATTACATCCTAGAGCCTGAGAAGCACCACCTCCCTCGTCGTATTTAGCACTTACCCTGATAGTCACGTATTCTGGAATGCTGCCCTCTTTCAAACAGCAATATTATGATAATTGAAGTTCAGTTTCTAATACGCATATAATAAGTGGGTGCTGCAGAATAGTGATGACGCCAGATATCCACAACAAGGGGACCAGATATCTGAAAATGGGTTCAAAGTCCGACCCCGACGAGAGATCCGAAATCCGTGTCGAAGAGTCCCACAGCCGGCAGTGTCACCGTGTTGAAGCTTCCCCCTCCCCACCACGCTGATGACTGGAACATCCAACGAAATGATTCACTGTATTTTTATATTACTTGCTAAAAATTCTACAGTAACGGAAGTTGCCAATTACCGAATAATTACAGATAATAGATAAATATTTGTGAAATACACAAAGTTACATATAAAAATACTGTACAGTACGGTAGTAAGTAGTAGTAACTTTATTGCTTCTCTTTTATAACAGAGGCACAGCCGTAAAGACATGCAACAATAACAAAATCAGTAAAAACTTAATTACTGTGATAAAATATAGTAAGAAAATACTGCGGTAGAACGAAATATATATAAAAAAGGGTTTACAAAAATAGTAATAGAGATAAAAATAAATACTCATACTGAAATAATATAAGTAAGTAGGTTAATATATACACTTATACACACACACACATACATATACACATACACAAATACATACATATACACATATATATATATACATATATGTGTATATATATACATATACATATATATATATATATATATATATACATACACATGCATACATATACATACATACATACACACACAATACATACATGCATAGACACACACACATACACACGCCCCTCCCACACACATATTTACACATACATACATATACACATACATACACAAACACATACATACATATATACATAACAGAGTAAATATTGTAAATTTAATTCAATAACATTAAAACCAGACATACTAGTCTCGCAATAGAAAAGTATTATATATATCATTTCGTTCTTTCCATGCCATCGTTAAAAGTAATTCACAATGTTTATCGAAAATTTTACTATAGTATAATTAATAGGGTTTATACAATTTGTTGTTAAAATTTCATATTCATATTACCGTACGTGACTTTTGTATGAAAACCCGCTGTCGACTCCAGGGGCGAATCCAGAGATGTCCAAAAAGGGGCGCCGAAAGTTGGGCCGATCGAGACAACACTGTCATAGGGGAGAGGGATGTCCCCGCGAAATGTTTGTGTTCCAGACGCCCGAAAATAACATTTAAGGCATTCTGGGCTATCATTTTTGTCTCTTTCTTTATTTTCATCTTTTTTTTTCTTTTTTGACCTCCCAAAAACGGTGGAGGGGCGGGGCCGGGGAGTCCCCGCCCACAAATCCGTACCTAGACTCGAAGATCAATCCAAGACGGTCCGAGAATTTGATGCATTCACGTTGATAAAAAAAAAATGGAAGCTGAGCCGCCGTAGATAACTGTGCCTTCACAACATGATGACGATTCGTAGGTCTAAATTTAAATTTTAGTGGAAGTGGTTTGACACAGCGGGAACGGACTACCTCGAGGTCGCCGGGTTTCAATCTCTCACTGTGCATTTCGCTTGTGTCATTCAACAAGGCATCTGCATTGCTTCTCTCTACCCAGGAGTTGGATTTGCCTGCTCCTGCGCTAATTGCCAGCAGCAACACTTAGCATGTGGACTCAATGACCATGGAAAAAAGTGGTTTATAACCTCAAGGAAGAGGCGCATAAATACCCATACAATTACCAGAACCAAAGATCTGAATAACTGTTATAGTTCAGTCCATTGGTTAAATTTGTTTAAAAAAAAAAAAAAAAGATACTCCAATCAGAAACTTAGTCACAATAAAAATATAAATAAAAAAACAAAAAACTATTAAGGAAACGGCGACATTTTATGAGTGTGCCAAAAGGTGAGATAACCCCTATTAAGGGGACACAAATTATTTTATCATTGTATCACAACAACTACAGCAGTCTCCAAGTAAGAAAACTTCAATCAATTTTATATTTCAACACCTTTTGAGTAAATCAGTCTTTTCTCCCCTGATTCCTAAAAGGAATAGCTCACAACGAATGTAGTCCTGTAAATAAATGAATAAAGAAATTGTGTAATACAATTCCTCAGGCGGGACTCGAACCTGCGACCTCTCGCTGTGCAAGGCGAGCGTCATAACCATTAGACCACGGAGGCTTCATTGTTAAACAGATTCAAATACCACCAGATACACTCCATTATAAG